AAATGTCACAATGGTAGATGGAGTGTGCGTGTAATGAAATGTCACAATGGTAGATGGAGTGTGCGTGTAATGAAATGTCACAATGGTAGATAGAGTGTGTGTGTAATGAAATGTCACAATGGTAGATTGAGTGCGCAAGTAATGAGATGTCACAATGGAGTGCGCGTCTAATGTTAATTTAATGTTAAAAACTGGTAATTGTTTAATACAGATAATATTAGTGTTGAATTTACAAGCCATGGTTTAATGTCTATATTTCCTAAAATTAACACCTAAGATGCACAATTTAGTTTGCAGATTTAGATCATAAAATTTTCCCCCTACTGATTTAAAATAAAAGATTATAAATAGATAAATAAATTCTAATAAGTTTCCAATATTTAATCAAAATCAATTTAGGTGGACATTTTGTCGCGAGGAGATCAACTTTAGTGTTTCAGTCTCTAACCATATAAATGCATTATACTCAATTTAAATGTTCTTTTGACCCTAACGCTAACATAATTGTATTCCAGAATATCACCCAGTTTTCTTAGTAACTTATTTTGTCTCAGATGTAAAAGAAAGATTGGGTGGCATGGGTGGCGTAGTGGTTTACTGCTCGGCTATCACCGTTGTGGTCCGGGTTCGAGACCCAACTCAGACTGGACCAGATGTAAGCAGAGTTTGTTTGATGTGTTGTTCTCTCCCTTGCAACGAGGGTTGTATCAGGGTTTTCCCGTTTCCTCCCTACGTAAAAATCAACATGTGAGTTGAGTGTTGTATGGTGTTAATACAGACTGAAGTGGTAGTGCGTGTGGAGGGAGCCTCACTGAAGAACCCCGTATGGGGAGTGGTGGTAGTAAATATGTAAAAACCTGAGCACGCACAAGAGATCTTCCCTATTACCATCAACTTTACTACTCAGCTCCTCCTCTTGTGCGCGCAAATTGATAAAACAAGACCAGCACTGGGCTAACGCCACTATTAAGGCTCTTATTCGAAAATTACTTGGCTATCCTTTTGATTTCTAAGCAAATAACTGGACTATATTTATATATTCTATTTTACGTCTCGTTTGAATAACCATGATAACCTTGTTATCTTATATTTTTAAGTCAAAAATATTATTTCGTTTCATCGGTTTAGATATAGTATATAGGAAGTAGTAGATATCAAGTTTTTTTAGATAAATAATTTGTACATAAAACTTTCACTTAATGAACTGAGCCTTTTAAAACCGTTCTTCTTTCAATCTAATGACTTTATGGAATTACAAAAAAAAAGCTTAGCTTTTTGTCACCTACTTTATGGACAAGTTACCGTTAGAGCTCGCTTAGAGCTTTTTCATACGACTTTAGGAATCCTATACGGCACTCACAGCACGTATTGACATAGGACGTTTTGAACTATTTGATTATTATCGAAAAAGCCATACATTCTATTTTATATAGATTTTAACGCCTTTTTGGTAAAGAGTCTCTATGAGGTGTAAACGTTCGCTAGAAACTATTTTGGGCTGCTGTCATCAGATGCCTTTCCACAATGCGAGCAAAATTTATCAAAGACTTTCATTTTGTTGCCGCAATATGTACAAAACTTTGACATCGCTATCCCACAGCCATTCCTTTCCGACAGACCAGTTGAAGGAGCTCTGGGAAGGGTTGGAGAAATAGAGGGATGTCGAAAGCGATGACTTTCTGGTTTGGGTTTAATAAGGAGAGGTGGAGGCAAAGGTAGTGGTTGGTAGATACGAGTGGACGGACATGAATGCGCACTGGGTAGCTGCCTTCCAATGGAATCTCTTGGTAATGGACTGTGTAGAAAGGGCGAGGAATGCGTCATGGTAGGCATCGTGCAGGCGTTAAGTGTAGGAGGTCTTAATGGACCACAGCTTACTCCGCCAGCAGCGTGACAAGATCTTTGGGTTGATAAGATACATTCTATAGTCTCCACTAAGTTGTTCCGGCATGACTGAAGGAAGAGGTCCAGGGTTCTTGGGTCGTAGTCAGGGAATATTTTCATTAGTAACTCAATGGGCCTCAGATGCGGATTTGCAGACATGTCATGTTGAATCCTATGAAGGCTGCTGTTTAAATTCTCAGCATCCAGTTTGATTGGATAAGGCAAATGCTCCTCATTTTGAATAGTTTCTTCTAGTATGGGACTAGTCGGGCTGGTCATTGGAGGGGAGTTTTGTCTCGGGCTTGAGGGTTCATCACTTGGTTTCTCTTGTTTGATGTGGATCTCTGGAGAGACTGAGTTTCTTTTGGGACTTGTTGGTCGAGTCTCATCATTTTCGTCGGACACTGAGCTGCATCTCTTCCGTGACATTTCTAATTCTATTTTAGGAAAGAAAAAAAAATTAGAAATCTCACTCTTCAAAGAAACTCTATGTTAATGTATATTACTATTCTTGTTAAAGGGCTACAAACCTGTTGACTCAATGACTGGATAAGGTCTAATCCGATCTTCATACTGCGCACGCGCGAGCTGATGATGATGAAGTGTATTATGTTGGTACCCGCCGATTCCGTTATTTTGAAATACCATGGAGTAACTTAATCGAACTGTTTCCATTTCCCGTTGGTATTTCTGGCGCAGTTCCGCTCCCTTCCTCTGCTGTCTGAGTATAGCAACACGAGCTGCCGTAATTCTCTGTCTTTCCGTTATCAGCTGACATTTTGAGCACGTGCAATCGCGCCAACGGCAGTAGTGTTTGTGACCTTTTAGCCATGACACTGTTCCATGACTACGACATCTTGCGCACTTGGGAATCCTGTGGTGTTGATTTGCTTCTTGGTTTTCTTCCGGCGATTCTACAGGCGATGTTGAAGTTTCACTCATCTTTGATACCTGCTAAACAAAACAAAAAAATTCAGTCCCCAAACAAACCTAGTACTATTTTTCGGCAATCATTCTGTGCGCTATTTTTATATTAAAAGGCAAATATTACGATTTCCAGCGGAATTTAAATCAAAAATATAAGAGTTGTATTTACTTTATGAGATACATCGATTATCCATTAGTCTTTTAAATTAGAATAGCGACACTTTGGTTACGGTATCTAGAGTTTCGCACTAGATACTGTTACTGTGTAACAGGTATCACGCACACTATCATGGTCAATAAATATTGTAGATACACTGGTCTTGAAGTGCGCATCGTCATCTAATAGTCTTCATGTGAACATCCAGACGTTATCTTGCCTACTCACTGGTATCATTGCTCACACTATGGTCAATATCTATAGATACACTGGTCTTGAAGTGCGTATCGTTATCTAATAGTCTTAATGTGAACATCCAGACGTTAGCGTGCCTACTCACTGGTATCATTGCTCACACTATGGTCAATAACTATAGACAAACTGGTCTAGAAGTGCGCATCGTCATCTAATAGTCTTAATGCGAACATCCAGGCGATACCGTGCCTACTCACTGGTATCATTGCTCACACTATGGTCAATAACTATAGATGCACTGGTCTTGAAGTGCGCATCGTCATCTAATAGTCTTAATGTGAACATCCAGACGATACCGTGCCTACTCACTGGTATCATTGCTCACACTATGGTCAATAACTATAGATGCACTGGTCTTGAAGTGCGCATCGTCATATAATAGTCTTAATGTGAACATCCAGACGATACCGTGCCTACTCACTGGTATCATTGCTAACACTATGGTCAACTATAGATACACTGGTCTTAAAGTGCGCATCGTCATATAATAGTCTTAATGTGAACATCCAGACGTTAGCGTGCCTACTCACTGGTATCATTGCGCAATACCTCTGGGTACTCTATGACATCATCTATATATGAATGAATAGAGTCCTTATATGTTAATCTGAATATTCGGATCTCCACGTTGATATAAAGACACATACGTTCTAATATTCTATTTGACAATCACTTCATGACCAACCTAATTTTTATCCACGCGAAATGTTATCCCTCTATTGCAGTAAAAGAAATAATTAGACAAAAATAAAATGGAAACTTAAATAATATGAAAAATGTAAAAAGGCACTGGCAAAAATATTAACTGAAGAGGCTTTATGCAAAATTGTGAGGTTATTGAGGTTAAGGAGAAGATATCTTGGACTTGGTATTTGCTTGGAGTGAGGTAATGCGGAAACTGAAAATTTACTTTGCGCAAGTACATAGTGCAATCGATCGATAGTTACTCGCAGTGACATCCTACCTTCTCCCCACACACACACAAACTTTATTACTACATATATTTCTTYGTATATAAATCCTTAATTTATTTAATTCCTAAGAAGCCCAAAGGGTGGCTAATGTGCTTATTTCACATTACTTGTGACTATAATCTATATTTTGGGGTGTTTGGGTATTTCTTTCTCCCTTTACTACTGATATTTTGATCATAAGCTACAAAGAAATGTATGGAGCGATGTTCGATGTTGAGTGTATGACGTCACAGGCTCCAAAAAATAATCGTTAAAATATCATACTTTCGTCCTGAATATCGAGAAAACGCTTCATAGAGTGATTATTGGACCTTTAAAGAGTATTTTTAGGAAATTTCAGCTGAATCCAAGTTTGAGCGATTTTCGTCAGAGTAGCACTTTAAAAGCCCAAAAAACTAAACCTAAGCCTTGGGTCGCTGTTGACGAAAAAATACCTTTTAAAAACTGGAGATTTCAGAAATGAGAGATGATATACGACTAGATGCCAGATAATTATTTTGAATTACCGCCATGTAAAAAGGTAATAACAAAATCAAATTTCAATGTTTTTGAACATTAAAAAGTAAGTCTTAACTGGCGAAGATGAAGGCTCTTCAATCTATCATGGATCATAAGAGGACCGGTCCTTTAATGATCGCACAAAAGTCTTGCGATTATCCCAATTATCGATTATATCATCTTCAACAAAAACTTTGTTCGAAAAAGTCAGTTAAAACAAGCATTCTTCTGAATGTTCTTCTTCGTTGATGTTTTAGGATTTCGAGATTTTATATATCATTAATTTTTATGACAAGGCGAGCCGATGTTTAAATTAGTTTATGAAAAAAAGTAACTTTTGACTTATAAATATAGAAAAAATATAGAGAAACAGAGAGCGAGGCTGTAGAAAAAAGCGTGAGAATTAAGGAAGGAGAGAGAGATTATTTTGCACCCGTTAACCCGTTAACTCAAACTTTTCTTTAACTTTTTTGACGACTTTAGACCTGGGTGTGTCAGTCCTTAACTTGTGTGTTTATAGTTAATTCTATTTCTCATATTCATGGGAAGGCGTTGTACCAACCATGCAACGGTAAAGAAAGAAAGCTAAACAAAGCATTCCTTTTCTGGTGAAATGACATTTCAAAGACCAAACAAAACAACGATTTATAAAAAGCAACTGTGTACATTTTGAACAAGAGTAAAAAAAGTCTAAAAAGTGCAAAGGAAAATAGCCGTGTCGAAAAGTAAGAAAAAAAAGTAACGTAAATTATACAAAGATTTACAAGAGCAAAATGGAAGGTTGTAGAAGGAATTTCTGCTTGCAATTACTTACTTAGCCAAAGCTCTGATGTTTCAATCGCAGAAGACTTTGTCTGATGTATGCTGGGCTGTAGACAACCAACTATCTTAGATGATTTGCTGACTATACGGTGGAGATACATGCTGTTGCTGATTGTCTGAAAGCGTTCTAGAAAGGCCACTAATCGACTAGAGTGCTATCTCGAAATGTGCTTTACAAAGCTTGCTCAACTGAGATAGAAAATGCAAAGGGGCAAGTGCATTAATCATGGCAGGTGGTCGAACGAGTTCGCTGATTGACTCACCTTAAAAACCCTCGCCCAAAGTCTATTTCAACGTTTAACTTAGAACCACTCTTGATTTTTTTCTTCCCCGCATTAGGACTGAGTTTCTGGGGCTTCAAAGGACGTTTCTAAGAATTAATTCAGTGTATTTTGAAAGTCCCTACAACAAAGGTTCCTCGTTGAATTATCTGTAGAGTTTGTACTAAGAGATTGAATCAAAAGTAGTCTTTGATAAGAGCTAAAAAAGAGAGGCAATTGTGTTTATATTTTGGAATTGTTCATCGATTGTCCATTGTGTAGTAAGTCGATAAGGGTGAAGTACCTTGATTGTGTTTCAAGCGGTAGTTATCTATTATTGTCATAGTCTTGATCTTCCGTTCGCTAGAACGTAGAGGGGAAAACCTATTGATGCTGTTGCATAAAACTGCTCTCTGCAGGACGTCCAATTTATAAACACCTCAGTGCACTTTTGAAATCTTTTATCCACTGCGGCCCAAATGAATTAGATTGAAGTAGACTGTTGATAAAACGGCGTAAAGTCGATCACGTATTAATAGCGTCTAAGAGTCTGGTATAAAATAAATTATTAAGGTGCTAGACTGAGATGAGACTACTCTTCAAAGATATATAAAAAATCTCCTAAGAGAGTATGCTTGACTTAAACACCTGCACTGAATATGGCCAAATAAATGCTGCAAAACAATTGAAAGTCTTTTACCTCTAGCGGCAAAGAAAAACAGCCCCTCTACAAGTGCCTCAACAGCGTCGCCTAGATGGACGACGACACTATTGTCAATTTCTTGGTGTAGTGTTTAAAAGCTACTTAAAGTTTTTTCTCTTTGTCAGAGCCGAAAGTTTAGAGTCTTACAGTTTCTTGACAGTATGAGCTAAAAGTCAACACCTGCCTTTCTTCTTGTCATATGTTTTCTTTTCGATCGATTAGTTTTCTTGTTTTTCAATTGTTTTCATTCATCATAAGTAAAAGTTTTTCGAGTCCGACAATTTTTCAATATGATTTTTTTTTTCAGTTTTTTTTTTTAGATCTTCTTTTTCGTCATTACTTTCTTTTCTCTCTACCACGCCATCCGTTTGTTAAAAGCATTAAATGGCCATTAGTTTTTTGAGCAAACCATGAAGGTAAACTCCAACACACGAATACTGTCACTATTAATGTCAATGATGATATAACTTGTTCATATCTGTAAATCGAATTATTAAAATAATTTATTGAAAAAATAATAGTCAGGAAATGTCAGGTTTCAAATCTACAAGTTGTTTTACAAATATGCAGTGAAAACTGACAAACAGCATTGTGACAGCAGTTGGCAAATTAGTTTAATACACTTTCTCTTAAAAAAAAAAAAAAAAAAGATAAAAAAGATAAAACGTCTGAAGTGAAAAAATTGAAGGTAAAGTGTTTTAACTGGTTCTGTAGTTTATTTTATGCCTTGTCTTGGCGAAGAAAAAGAAAAGATATTAAGATAGAGAAGTTTGGGTGTAAATATTAAAAAAAAAAAAAAATGATGATACTAAGATAGGATGGAAAAAGAAAAAAGCTTTAATAAGGAACGAACGAATAAATGAAAAGATAGAAAAATGGGAAAGTGAAGTACAAGAAGCTTCGCCTAAAAAAATTAATATGCTTTCAGAAGGGCTTTTTAATAAATCGTACAAAAATAACTCCACCTTCGTTTACTAAGGTGAATCCAATTTCCTATTCTTTGCTTGGCTCAAATCCTAACACCACTTTAGCATCCCTAGCCGTGATGAAGAAAATTTACTCTTTAATTTAGCTTTATCGTTTCCATTTACACAATTACCATCCAACTTATTTCACAACGAAAACAATGAGAGATCGAAAGCGCCTGGTCAACAAACGATTTTGCATGGCTGACTAATAAGACAAAGTCTATTATCCAATGTCATTAGTGTACTAGCTGGTCGTAACCCAATGCCAAATTTCCGTTTATTATTCTAAACTCATCTAGGAAGTAGTAAGAAAATAAAGTATGTGTTTTACGCCAATTAAACTCTATGAAACCTTAAACCGGATCCTGATTTTTGAAGTACTTTGGAACTGAAATGAGAAGCGCTTTGGGAAGGCGCTGAGTTAAGTTAACTCTGGTGTCAGCACGCAGGTGCTGTATAGGGCAAACTTCGCCATCATTACTAAGTATTTAAAGATGTTTAAAGAACGAGTAAAAAACCTTTTCTTCCCGTTAATAAAGCAAGGTTTACAAAGTCGCAGGGATGCGGTTTGTTTGGATTTTTTTGTCTCTGCATGCGAAGCCTCGAGGATTTATTGGTTGGTAATTTTCTAATATTATCAAATGAATTAGAATGAATCCTATTGACTATTTATCTGAGCGCTTATCAATCGTTGGACCAAGGCAAACCTTGATGTAAGGATGCTTAAAATGTTGTTCTCGTAATGGTTTATTTGCTTGTCTCTAATGGAAAGATTATTTTACCCAAAGGATCCTTTGTAAAGCCGAAAAAACAACGCCAATAGACTAAAAACATATACACCATTGAGTTAGCAAGTATGACTCAGCTAAACACCTTATATTTGTGTAAGAGTCTTATCTAATTAGAGATAGATATCAGTATTTGGATGGCTTAGGATTAGAGATAGAAGATCGAACGTGTAAAACACATTAACAAGGAAAGGATTGCGACACAGCCTATGATAACCCTTTTTCGTATTTGCTCATCTCATCGACATTCTACTGAAAGAATAGCTAGTTCGTGAGAAGAAAAGTCGGTTCCATTATTTAGGAATCATTTAATTGAAGTTGTTCCTGTTAAAGACCTTATTTATTGTTGTTTGATTGGAAAAGCCATTTTAGTTTCAAAATAATTTCATAGTTTTTCTCCAAAATGCGCTAATCCCTCTCACAGGATTGTAATAATTGTAAACAGCCTTTTGAAGCTATAGTTTAGGGTTTATTCTATGGAATTTGAAGAAAAACTTGTTTAGAAAGAAAAAAAATATTTTGATTCGGCTTTTCACTTGATGTTGAACTAGTAATATTTTAGAAGTTCGTGGGGTTCTGTTCGGGAGTTCGCCAAGCCAGTCGTGGTCATGCAGATATAACAAAATTGAGTAATATTAAACGTACAAAATTATCTTAGGAGAAAAAAACGGCCAATGCAGTGTTACTATTGCCTTTGTCATATTAGATTTCCCTCCAGGAAGTTAGTTTACAAGCCATGGAATGAACGCCCACATTTCATTGATAGTAAGATTGAGGATTGCAACTAGTCTTCAAGTCTAAAAAACAGGTCTCAAAAACAAGATCTATAGTCAGACATGAATAGCTATATGATATAAATAGATAGCTGGTGCTAGTTTTGCACGTAGGCTATATTAAAGAATTGGAACTGGTCCAAACCAGATTTTAAGTGTATGGCGTCTACTTTGAACTGTTAATGAATTGTGACTCGGATAACGGTTTACTTGTCGAGCAAGTAAAACGCCGTCCCTTGTGTGTTCGGACAAAGGCAGACTAATGTAGTCCTTTTTGACAGTTTTCTAGTCGTTTTTCTCACTAATGAATATTAAAATAACGTGTGGAATGGTTTTCTCTTATTTTTCCAAAGATTTACTCACGATTTTCAAGGTACTTAGAAATCCTATTCAAGGAGTTTTGCGCGAGAAATTGGAATCTCCTTAAAAGCACGTCCGTGGGGTTGTTCTCCTAAACAAGATTCAAACTATGAATGAAACACGCCGTAAAACTCTATCTTTCATTTTGCTAACCAATTGATGAAGATTAGAAACAGTGGCAGAGTTTTTCTGACCACACAACCATGCTGTGTGGATCAAGATACTACATTCAAACACAGTACAAATGCAAGATAAAACAAAATCAATTAAATACCATTCAAGAATAGCCCATTTAATCGAGTTAATTTGCTTGTGTTTACCCTGTAAACTTTAATCAGCTTCTGGAACAGAAATCGGATCTCGCAAATTTCCTTAAGAATAATAAAATAAGGCAAATACGAGGAGCGAGGGAACTTCATGTAATCAAGCATTCGCGATAGAGAGATAATTTCAAAGAGACTCGTCATTTTACGAGCAAGCGCTTTTGCTCTAATGAGATTGGAGTGCTGACATTTCCAAAAACTTATCTTTCTTATGTCGTCAAAAACTCAAAGAAAAACTCTCAGAAATATAAATGCTTTACCCGAAAATTTCCGTGCGAATCGTCAGCAAAAAGCACTCACATTTGGAAAAGTAAAAAAAAACGTGTTTTTTTTTTTACTATTATAAGCAGCAGACGTGTTGATGTATTTAAGTTATTTATGAAAAAAAAAAAGATTAACTTTGACTTACTTAGTTAAAAAATTGCCCAAGGTGTGAATTTTTAAAAACTTGGGATGGGCTAAAAGCATTGAATTGAATACTTCAAGAAAATCAAGGCACAGCTCTGACAGTTTCGATGTAATTTTCCTCCAGAATTAGAATTAAGTGTTACATAGATATCTTCATAGAGAGCAAGTATGACAAATGACGATGAATTTGTTTATAACTAGTGTAATTTTTCAATGACCAATTTCCCAACTTTTTGGAGCTCAATTTCCAGTATATTTGCTCTCTTTTAATTTCCAGTTTCAAAGTAAAGCAAGACCAAATATTATAAAAGTTCAGAAAATAGCACAAGAATTCACGCCAATGATACGACAATAGCTCAAAATTAATTTCCTTCAAATATTGTTTAAAATAATATCTTTACAATAGGTGATGGGGAAAATAATTTATTAAGTGAAGTACTTACTATACAATGCTCGGCAAACTTAAGCCCTGGACGGATGGCGTAATATTAATTATTTTCAAGCCAATTTATCTTTGAAAAAAGGCTGACTATTTCGGAAATCCCTGTCGAACGCCAGGTTCCACCAAAATTAATTTTTTTTACTCGTGTTATATGATCTGCGTCATGTCGAAAAACTCAACAACAACAAAAAATGAAACGAAAAAGAAAGAAAGTTTAGAAAAGAAAAAATGCACGATTTAAGAAATCCGTGAAAGAGAGAAATTGTATATAGAACAAAGAGAGCTCTGCACGAGACGATCTTAGTCTTTTTATGAAATTCATTAAAATTGAAATTTGTGTTTGCACAGCTTTCGTTCAGTTAAAAAATGACGTTCTTTTTTTTTTTTTTTTTGGAAAAAAGAGGAAATTCCCGACGTCTTGAATGAAATCAGGAAGATTTTTTTTTTAATTTGACAAAATATGGATAAAAGTGTTCAGGGAAAATAACACCTAGTGTAGAAAACAAGAAAATGAAATGAAATCATTGTACAAATGCGTTACCTTTTTTGATAAATCTTCGCAGTTATTGAGGCTTAGTTGAGTGACTTTATGAGATATAGATATTGAACTCGCCTCGTCGTTCCAGAGCGTTAATCGAACGGCGTTTTACCTCACTGGCGGCGTGGTGTGTCAACTATATTTGATACCTTCAATGAAGGCAAGTGAATGTAAATGGGATTTTATGGTAGACAAAATACATACAAACTTCCACTCTACCAAAAACTCCAGTGATTTCATTACAAATCCTGTTATCGGCGTTTGAGATTGTGCGGTCTGATAGCTCGAAGAAATTAATCAAAAGAATATGAGCCCTTTGAGGCAAATGACAAAATCTATTGAAGTACTCCAGTTTATAGCTCCTTCTTTCCGACAGGCTTCAGATTTAATAGTCCCTTTAAACGCTGTTTGATTGTAATTACGTGTTTACCTTACCTATTCCTAACTTCGTGATTTTTTGTGTAGACCTGAATTCGTGGCTAAACTTTAGCTCTTTAGTAACATTATCATTCTCGTAAACAAAGATGGGCTTATACGCTACACCGACTACGAACACAGCCTAACTGACAAGGCGTTAAACAATGACGGACGCTTTTAGAGCCACTTACGAACAACTTGCATTTTTTCTCAAATAATTCAACGATCGAAAACAAAATCGTTTGAATCTCAAAAACATTTATAAGTAAATTGAAAGGAACTTTTCTATATTATCAATGCTGAATCATTAGGTTCGTGATGTTGAAACGATACTGTTCAATGACAACATACAATGGGTTCAGTTTTTTTTCCAAAGAGTTAATCGTGACGTATACTCAAAGCTTATCGACAACACGCACATTGCTGCGCTCTGTCCTCGTTGTGTTTTGTCACCTTATTTCTAACGATGTTCACCTTGAAATCTTTCTTGTTATTGGCAAAAGTAATTAGTATAGTAAAGACATTGTTTGGAATCCTTAGTTTTTCAAATGTATTGGATTCCCTAAGGGCTATTCAATTTTTCTTTCAAAACAATAAGGCAATCTTTGTAGCTACGTACAGCTTTTGGAAAAACGGCTTTTTTTTTCCCGGCCCTAAAGTAATTTTCATTTTGCTAAAGTGGAGTGAATCAGTCTTAGCACTTATTTCTATTTTAAACTGTAGCGATGTACAATTTTTTTGTTTTGTTGACCTTTATCATTATATTTTTTTCATTTAAAGCGAAAAAACTTCATATTGCCGCTTTGTATATAAATTCTTTTTAGAAAACTAAAAGTCAAGACTAAAGCCCTCGGGAAACTTTCTTAAAAGCCACTTCTCTTCACAAATTGGATTTTTTAAATACCAATTGCCGAAGATCATTTGCATCTTCCCAGTTTAAAATCACATTTGCAGTACTTGAAACTCTCGTGAGCACAAGGCCACATCTTTTAGGAATTTTCCGAAATTCGAGAAAAGAACAGCGCTTAAACATAACGTCCATGTCAAAAGAGGCAAATGTAATAACGATATATTAAAGTATGATTACTTATTAGGTTGGCAAACTTGGTCATTACTTCAGAATTACACACCACGTTACAACAGAATTGTAAACTGCTTACCTGAGGTGTGATGTAAGGCTCCTTGATTCTGTTATTCGTGCTGGTTCTCAGTGCTATTTAACTGTAGAAAGAAGAATAAAACAATGAGCGTACGTGCTCTTTTACAATAGAAGTTAACTTCCAGTCTATAAGAAGCGCCAGTTTGGCACGCCTGGCTTGTTACTAGAGTCACGGTATCCTAGTGGGCTCACTCCAGTCTGGTATCTTAGAAACCGGAATTCAGTACCTTAAAGTGGGTGGGACCTGTACCAGGTAAGTTGTTGCTAAAAATGGTTCACAAAACATTAAAGCATCACGGTCAAAATCAAACTCTTTTGTGACACCTCAGAAAAAATTGAGTCTATAAATTCACTCTACTGAACTTCAACGGAACCGTCCATTAAGAATTCCTGTAAACATTCAATGTCCGCTCACTTTTTTCTCGGCCCTATTTGGTTTAATAAGTGGTTTTACTTTGGTAGTTTCACTGGCGGCTCTGATATCCGAGAGCATTACACGGTGTGGGCTCTCGTCAGAGTAATGTCAGCTAAAAAGAGAAATTTCATTTACTACGGAAGAAAGATTTCTTCCATAATTGCTTTCGTAATAACTTAAGTAAGTCAATTGTCAGAGATGTCGAATGCTCGAGACAAGTCTAAAGCAGGTGGGTGATTTTTTTTATTGGCAGCGACCGAATCGGTTCGCCAATAGCCAATGAGATATAGCATATTTCTTTATATGTACTAATAAATAATGATTTCACACGCGAATTCAAAAAATCCAATTTGTTGTTATTGACCGTAAAGAAATAAAGTTTCCGAAGTCATTCATCTATCTACTCGTGAATCATAATGGGCTAAACTGAACAACTTGATAATAGTGTTTAGGGAAAAGATTGAAGTGGACTTACTGGGCTAGAATGTCTTTTGTTCGATAGTGACACTAGGTCTTTACAAAACGTCTCGCGACAGAGCTTTAGTTGCATTAAACACATAACCTAGTATAACAGGCACTGAGTACTTTGCTTCAGATCACCTGCAAAATGTGCAAACAAACCCTGCCAAATTTTCTTTTCTCTTTTTTTGGCCCAACTTGGACTCTCAAGCAGGTCATTCAGTCTAATCAATTGATTGAAGCACTGAAAAACATCGAGCCACAAATTTGAAGCTCGGAAGTTTAGCGATGAATTAAAATGGGCTGCCTCTCTAGACTATTATATAGATATATATACCCTTGGGTAAATATATATCGCATCCATGCATATGGGTCTCAGGAATAAATAGATGGGGGTTTCTTGTCAGTCTTATAACGTAAGTAAAACATATACTACAACAACTAGAAGTATAAAATACAGTGCATATAATCATTGAAACGTTCGATAATCTGTCAATATTAAAAGTTGTCTGTGAGCCTTATACTATTTAGACAAACTGGTAAAAAGTGTAGCGCATTTCGTTCATATTGTTTGTCGTTTCTTGAAAGTGATTGGCATTTATTTGTGACAACAGCGTGAATATGGTACGATGAAAAAATAGTTAAATGCGAGGCATGTCAATCAAATGACAAATCAACTGAATTAAATGAGTTGGGTTGTAATAATACGTTACATTAGAATCAATCCATTTAATCCTCAACATTTTTTCTTGCACGCAAATCATTCTTAGAATCGATTTCAGCATCGACTGTCGCTTCTAGAATTACAAACTCCCCAGTTTGATATATCAGATATCGATAAACTTCAAGCCATCCATTGCCGGCCGGATGACTAAATTATCAAATAACCGTTAAAATAATTTGTTATTTCTATTCTAAGGACGGTTGGTAGTGGAAAGAAAAACTCGTGAACTGTGACTCACTGTCTGTCTGTCTGTGCCTGGCTCCAAGCCGAACCTTTATTCAACTCTATCCACTGAACTAGAGTTGAAAATTTAAAGCTAAAAAATATTTTTTAAAGTCATTACGACCAAAAGCAGCTAGGTTGTGATCAATGATGTAAAAGGCTGTAACGCCGTCTATAGTACTTATAGCCTCAGAGAATCTTTCAGTCAACAGCGTTTAGTAAATTGAATAAAAATAAATCGAGTTGGACTCAAAGAAAGCCTAAGTGATTACCCTAAACCAGACTCTCCTCTAATGCTCCTCCAAATCTCAAAGCGCTCCTTCGGGGGACGCTCATCCACAAAGTCAAAGGGAAAAGTTCACTTACATTGACGATAAGCGTCTTTAATTTTCATTTCATTTCGATTTACTTTGGACAGAATCCTATGTCTTTAATTCAAAAACGAAAATTTTTTGCGTTTTATACACTATTTATATTTCGTAAATTAATTTTTTTAAACCTATAAAACCTTTCAAATTTTACTTTCTATTGCTATTCCATTATTATCTTTTTCATTACCCTCTTATTTCTTTTTGATTATTTATTTATTTTTCCATTTTGTCACTGGATTTTTTCTTGATTTACAAGAGTGACTATAGTAAATAATATTTTACTTGGGTTTGGATAAATAAGCTGATTCTTGATAACATATATAGTTGGAATATCACGAATTTCATAATAATATTCATAGTTTCTACAAGATTATTTCAGTCAAAAAATATATTGTTTAGCTGTTTATGTTACTTCTTACAATGGTGTGTCATTTTCATTCACTAGCTTACCAAAAACACGAGCCATTTAAAAAAAACATACATTATTTTTACTTACTTGTGCAATGTTCTAAAGAAATATTTGCTAAACAATCCTTTGGTCAATCAGAGTCTTAAAGATAGGATTTCTACGAACTTCAGAAGAGCGGACAAAGGGTTTTTCTTCGAGTTTTTCCAGCAGGAGAACAGAAGAATCTGCACTAGTGAAACCAGAGCCAAGAAATGTGGGGACGTCCTTTGATGTTTGCCGAGAGAAACATGTCTTGTCTAGAAGACGAAGAGCACAGGTAGTGTAGGATTTTTGCCCTTAGGGTCTCCAGCGTTTGGTTTCGTACTAACGTAAATCAACCATAATCTTGTAATATTGTGAAATAAGAAAAATACATTCTCTTACCCAAAAGGTCTTTAAGGATTTAACTTTGGACGGTCAACTCAAGTACTTGACGATACCAACGACTTTGCTGTTTTCAAAAGCTCTTCATTTACGGAAGTCCTTATTTTGGTCAATTTTTTTTAAAAAAATCCTGCTCTCGCGAAGTTAAAAACGACTCTCGTACTTAGAGGTGTACTTTTGGTTTGGCTATGCAATTCAATTCTAACACGTTTGTTACTGGTGTAAGTAATGAGAGAATAGAGAGGGTACCTGTCTCTAGCTTGGTGATACGGTAGAATGAATTCTGCTTGTATAAAACTTGTTGTTGCTATACTCCATTTAATGAGGAATCTTAGCCCTTAGGTGGAACATAAGTTTACTATTCACATAAATAACTTTCAAAACATCCTAAGAAAAAGAGAAAATATAGTACCCCTTTTGATGTAAGTGTGCCATGCGCTAGTAAAAACCCAAAGTGTTATTTCATTTGAAATTATTTGAAATGAAATTAGAAAAAAAAAAAATTTAACAGGTACGTCTGACTTTACCCTGACTTTGTTGTTTGAATGGCCAGACGTTTCTCATAGGTTATACAATATTTTTAGTAGTTACACTAAGTCATTTCATTCACTGGGAAGATAAAACTCGCATTACTGTTTTGAAATGAAATCAAAATACGAAAAAAAATCCCACGACTTTGTTCCATAAAAATTAATTACTTTAAGGCTATTTTAGTAATTTTTGTTGAAAAAAATTCAGCCAAATATAACGTAGATAACGTTTATACAAAAGCGGATTCCCCCCTTCAATATTATGTTATTTATTTTATTCCACTACCTGACATCGATGAAGACACCTCGTGGTCACCGAAGCGAAATACTTCACACCAAACGAGTAATGCTTATTGTTATAACTGTTTTTTATATCGCACCCCTACAAATTACAAATTATTGTATCGCTAAATACTAAAAGTTACGTAAAGAGAAACATCATATAAATGATAATTAGTTGAATACTATACTCACCTAGGACTGATCTGATCGTGAAGTTCCGTTCAAACTAGTGCTCAACAGTTTGAGGATAGCTAGAGGACTTGATTAAGTTTTTTTGCTAAAGAGTTCAATTGAAATATTTCCTATAGCTCAATAGCCCGGATAAAGATATGACAGTTACTGGTTAGTATTTCTTTTGTTTCTTGTTCTGTTATACATCCACGTGGAAGAGATGCCTCTTACTTCAGCGAGCTCTCTCTTTTTAGATATAAGTGGGCAAATTTGGATAGCTGGTTTTGATTCTGGTAAACTCCGTCCGCGATATAGGCAGCACAAGGGGTGACCATGAATCGGGTGCTTCGGTGATAGATTGGAGAAGTCTTTAGCTGATTGTCTATGGGGTGATTATGAAGTCTTGCTAATAAAACTGATGCTTTTCGATATATTGTTTTCCTTGCCGGGAAAGATCGCTAACTATTGAATGTTTACTTGGAAATATATATTGCTATTGACTCAGGCGCTAAATCTGCGCTAAAGATTTCTCTCTTTTTGTTTGTTTGCCAAGCAAGAAAATGTGGAAATATTACAGAAATTGTCAGGTACAGTGTCCAGCTGCATTGATACAGAGTCGGATAACTATTTTGTATCTTTTCAAAGCGTTCTTAGCATTGTTTAACTGGTTCATATACTATCGAAAAACCTAATTTCTTCGCTGTTATTGAATTTTCACTTTCTCGCCATAAAGCTATTATGTTCCGTTCAAATGGACAAGTGTACGATGAAGAAAGATTTACTAAGTCTACAAGGCCATCATTAAAAATGAATTGGTCGACGGATAAGACTGAAAGCTAGCTATTGTCCCAACCGTTTAATTTCCGATAAATAAGCTATTAAATTGAAGACATTTGAACTTACAGGATCAAACAATTAACTTTGCTTCCGAGCTGTTTCTGCAATATTTCAAGCCACGCTGGTTGCTATTGTTAAGTAACTTAGTTTTTGACACAAATGAAGTATTGTACGATTGATGAGCTGTCTTCGTTATGCCGTTATGTGAACGTAGCAGTATTATCTCTAATTTAACTAGTCGGAAGACTAGGATTTCTCCATCTAATGTTCAAACAATTCGATTGATTTATTTGGTTATTTTACTGCACGACTAACTCTGACGACTATCAGCATTCATTAAGAACTCTTTATCGATTAGGAAATTTATTTCGAGCTCAAAAGTGATAAAAGTATAATTTATTTTTCTAGGTTTTTAAGAGGTTTTTAAAGCTTTCCTTTCCTCTCGCATCTTCTTTATTCTCCTGAAAAAGCTTGTCATCTTTTGAAGTAATTTTTTCACAAAGAATTAAACGACTAAGAACTCGAGGTTAAACAGTTAATTAATAAAAGAGTCAAACAAACGAAAAATAACAAAAAAGAAACCCATTTACTAAAAATATAAACATAAGTGATTGGGAAAGAAATAATGATGAATGATAGCAAAAGAATTACTACGAGAATAAAACCACGCTTGAAAAAGAACTTTCAACTTAAACCGATGAGAAATTCATCTTCAAAAAACTAGATGTCTTATTGATCAAATATTGTGATATTCAGGAACACTGCATATCCTGGATAACGAGTCATTACCGCTTAGTTTTTTCTTACCAGTTAAACATTAATTACGCTGTTGTTAAATTTTGATAAGTTTGGTGTCAAAACAAAACGCTAAACAACAGTTTAGGATCATCATCGGTCCTAAACGGCCAGTTCTTTAGGTTCTTTAGTGCTTTAATTTGTCATGTATCAAAAGTTTGAACATCTAGATCACTAATGTCATTCAGTTTTATACAACCAAGTTCAGGATTTTAGTTTCTCGCGTTTTAATCATTACTGACTTGGATCCCAACCTCGACTTTTGAGGATTATATTTTATTGATTTCCCGATTGATATATCTCTTAAAATAATCTAAATTATAAATCAACACACGAGTTAAGTGTTAAAGAGAAATCATACGATCATGAAAATTAGATGATTATTGCTAACTTGAAAGCCCCAATTAACAAGTTTTGGACATCCAAATGTGAAATATCTTTACTGGTTTTGACATTTTTGTGATCAGTTTGTGATAAGTGTTTTCAAATATTTCAAAGGTTTCAGAAAAGTAAAGAATTGTGGTGAATTCAATGCTAGCTATGATGACTGGATACAAAATTGATAATAACAATCAGGGGAATCGATAGGCCAGCCACAGTGATCTTGTGTGTCAATGTCACCGTTATCGGCTCTCACGATCACATCAATGACTCCCATTTTCCCGCGTTTTACAAATAAAACCTCGTCTTCTCTAGAATCTGTCGTATTTTTTTGAAATATTAATGGAAATTGGCTCAAATCACTTCCACAAAAGGAACTTTTATGTTTTCTCATGCAGCTGAATTTGCTCACAATCTCGCACGATTCGACATATCTATTGTGCCCATCGTTTGGAATCGTTTAATCAATCACCCACGCTGTTGTCCGATTTTTTCCTATTTTCAAACTGTATTTTTCATCGAACTTTCGGCTCGTGCTTTCAAAGCCCCCCTCGCTGTAATCATTATATCAACTTCTCTGGGAGTTCCACTGTTTGTCCAACTCGGTTCAAAATATATACACAGCTGGAGATGTCGAACATATCATGTCGCCCGGGTATCATTTCTGCTGGCTCTTGCTTATGAAATAAGGTGGTTTGTTTGCTCAGCTAACCAGAAGACAAGACTTGGAAGCTCCACTATTATATTTAATAACTTTGCTTGTACATTAATAGAAACCTGAATGGGAAGTATAGTGGTACTTTTGATATACTTGGAAATATGCACTTGATTTTGATCTATCTTATTCAGTATCCATTATTACACACTTCCTCTGTTAAGACAAGTGAGCGCTAATTTCTAAAATCTTCAGTAGAAAACGGGTCAAAACTAACCTCAATTTCGGCTAATCGCTTTTTCTAGTTTTCTCAATATCATTCATTAAACATAAATCTGACGCAACACCTTTGAATTAATTTATTTTTAATTCTTTCAATAAACGTTTTTTGAATATGAATTCTAAGGCCATCGGACTAATCATCTTAGATGATTCTAAGTTTTGAAGAAACTTGAAGCAAGAATATTCATCAACATGTCATTCTTACTTCGAGATTGAAAAGCTTAAACAATTTCCAGTTACTTATTGTCATGTCAAGTTTCTTTGACGTTGCAAACCTGCTTTTACGTACTCTCTTTTAATACGTCTCTTTCCCCCTTCCACGATAGACCCAACTTTTATGATTACTTTGGCAGATTTTGTTGCTAATTTCATTAAAAAACCTCACCGAACAAAATATGAAATTTGCATTATTCACGATTACTTTTTTGTGGCTTCCATTTTCAATTTATTTGCCGGGAACAAAAATGACGATTGGTTGACTATTTGGGACTACGTTGACTGAATATGGGCGAGTGTGCGAAGCGCTCGTAACTGTATTGATATTTAATTCCTTTGTCGAAGTAAAAGAGCAATTTACTCGTAGAGTGATGCTGTTGGTCCGCAAAACTCTTCCCCTACCCTCTCCCCCTTAAAACTGGACAATGTCATCTCAATATTCTAACTAGGTGGTTTGTCTCGAGCATTGTCTCCTTTTAAGTTTAGCATTATTAAAATGCTGTCATATTCTAAAGCTATGATCTACAAGTGAATAGTGTCCAGATACTAACCCGAGTGTTGTTGCTGTTGTTGTTTTCTGTTGTCGCTTTTCCTGGCTCGTATATTTATTCCGGCGATGATATTTGACAGAACCGGAATTCTGTAACAAAAATATAAGAAATTGGACAATTGAATATCGGCCTTTTGAGTATCAAAATAAATAAATGAATAAATAAATAAATGAAAATCAAACAAAAACACTAACAAAAACAAACAAAACAAAGGAAAGGAAAAATAAGAAACAAAAAACAAAAACAAAAAGAAAGTACAAAATGATAAAACTAAGAAAGGAAAGAAAAACATAACAAAACAACAACAAACAAAAAAACACATCCCTACCCCATACACAGACAAAAGACTGAACTGACTACTATCAGATTTGAACATGATGTACACATTCATTATTTGATCTCGTTTTAAAAAATCTAATTAATAGATATCTTTAGTAGGTGAAGACAACATGATAACTACATTCAAAACCTGTACTGTTTTCATTAGAACTCATTGAAAATCGTTTGGCATAATAATTTGACTGAAGAAATGAGAGTTTGCTACGAGTCTTTAGATTAAATAGTTACCAACGTTATTCCCGAGTAGTACTGTTGTCTAAGTTCCGAACCGTAACTCGACCAATCCTTTTTTAAAAAGTTAAAAATAGAAATAATCAGTCCACTCCACTGATATAACATTTACTATTAGGACAGTTATTTAAATACAGGAACACGTGTTTTGTAATGGCCCTTTGAGAGATTTAACTCCACAATTAGACTGCACTTATGACTTGAACGAAATCTTCTCCCCCGCAAAGAGCGTGAAATCTTAGCTAGACTGGCCGTCCGTAAAAAGACAATAAAGACCTCATGATATTATATTGATGTATATATATATCTTCATTATGGGATTAGCATTGTGAGATTTTAAGAAGGAAAACTCATGTGCGCAACTGGTATTTGCCCTATGCTAGCTACGATCGACAAAGAATCGAGAATCGCGACTGAATTAATGAATGAATGTGTACTTCACTTTGGGCTATGTATGTACTCTTAAGCTTCCGTCTATTCTGTCGAGAATGGCTTAAAAATGTAATTGATATCTAGTTAGTACTAGCTAAAATTATTGCGAGCCGATTAAAATTAAGCTCCCACCCAGAAAGCATTGAGCAATCTTCTAGATACAACACTCATGATATCCATATCATATAGTGACTTCCAGATCTATAAGATCTCAGTCTGAAATACTGATATGTATATGTTTGCATAGTTGTTTACGAGTTGGAATAAGCAGCATAGATGAGGTAAAAAATGACCTGCAAACTGAGAAGCTAAACAACTTCTCGTCATAAACATGTAAAATTAGATATGACAAACTTTCTTAAAACTCGCAATTATGTAAGTCGGCACCCTTTTCAGAGTGTATTTCTAAAACAAAATCCTTTTGTTTTGTTTAGAGAGTCAGTCATAGGCAACAAAAGAGCAGGAGGGCGCGCTAGTGTCGGACGGCTGGAAAAAGAGCAATCAAAGACAGCCTCTTCTAACTTGTTTTCGAGCAGCAGATGTTTTTAAGCGGTAAAGCTGGATGGATGTACATAATAACGTTCTCTTGCTTCTAGGAGCTGCTTTCTAGACTGGTTCTATTAATAAGACACTTTTCTAACTGCCGGTACCAAATGCATTTATCCGTTGCACAACTAAATATAAAGAAATTGCCTCGGGGTCTAGCAGCTGTTGAATCAGTAAAGAATCCTTATTTTCTTTTCTTAGGTTGGTTACGAAATTAAAACATGAAGTAAACTCATATGCCGCTCTTTTCATTTCTTTTAGCAATCGCCGGGCTATTCAAACAAGCTGAAATAACTAAAAAAAACTTCAGTTAGAATAAAAGCCGATTACAAACGAATACCGCATAGCAAAATGTGTCGGTCGCCGGTACTCTTGGCGGTAGGGACAAAATATCGACTAATTCGTACTTTTGCACAAAATCACTGGCTGTAAGTTTAGTTAGCTTTTGGTGTACTTCACTTCAGTTTACACCTATGCCAAAAAAAGCTGTCGGTAGAAGACCTGAGATTTGAAATCTGAGACTGAGTAACACTTTGCAAAATGAAATATGTTCACGGCGGAATATCGTTTCATTTTAGATTGAAATAGGGAGCAAGACCTTTGACTTTTTTTCGTATTTTAGCAAGAAAACATAAAAACACAAATATTTCGTTAAGTCTTAGATCGCCCATTTCAGCCAATCTCCGACCGACAAGGTTTTTATAACAGGTGTAAGCATTGATGTGAGTGTTTGATCGACTTCTACTAAGTTTTCAACCATTTTTTTTTTTGGCCTGTAAACTAAAGAGTGTACTGAGTGAATGACTTTTATCAAATATAAGCATTACAAATTCTTCGAATATTCTAACTAAAGTATATAATTATATTTTTGAATGCATAAGAAATTACAATTTTTTTATACAAGATATAATGATAAAGAAAAAGGTCATATCGTAACTGAACCTTGAGTGAAATCAGAGAATATTTCAACCAAAATGCTAGATCTATGTGCCGGAACACTGAAATTATCTTCAATCGGTCAGGCAAATATTTAAACATTTCATCTAAGTGTGTTTATTGAACAAATAGCCTTTAATACTGATGCGGTTCGATTTGTGCGATGCATCAGCAACACAGCCTTCTGATACTCTTGCATGAGCACAATGATAATTGGCTGAGGTGCTTTTGTTGTAAGCCAGATCTATACAAGTAAAAGGTCCGAGGTTCAATGTTCCCGTGCACTAGACTTCTATGGCATGAGTTTTAATAAGATCCAGAGAAGGGCAAAAMGAATGCCCCTCCCCTCCCTCCAGGGCCCGGTTGTACGAAGGGTGGATAACGTTATCCGATGGACAAAGCTTATCCAGTGGATAAATCGAAGCTGTTATACAATAAATTTATCCACTGGTTAAAATTTATCCATCGGATAGCGCTATCCACTCTTCGTACAACCGGGCCTAGAGGATCACTTTGGTTATTCTCATAACACTAGTCAACATTGATCAAATAGAGTTTTGTTTTTTCTCCCTGTTTTCCAAGGGTTTCCTGTTTCTCTCCTTCTCGTTAAGCCTGGTTTTCATATACTTGAAAACGATCGAGAACGAGGCGAGTCTGCGGGTTTTTGTCTCGGCTTGAGTCGGCAGAATACCGAAAACTTCAGCTACTTTTTTCCAGGAGTTCAATTTTTTGTGTTTGTCCTTGAAGTCTTTGCGCAGCGATCATAAAGGCAGTCGTATTTGGCCACTTCTTCCATAAAAATTTCGGCATCAACATCTCTCGGATCTTTCTCCGTCATGGCCTACAGTTACTAGTTGTTACTTCAAACGCGAGCTGATAGTTTGTAAACAAGTAAGCCGTTGCTATGGCATTACAGTTTAGGAAGTATTGCATCTTTGGAAAAATTACATATTATGGTATACATTTCGATCGTACGATCGAAAAAAGTGTTCCCATATGATCGCAGAAGATCGTTCTCGATCGCTTTCGATTGTATGGAAACCAGGCATTAAGGATAGAATGACGAAACCTCTTTCCAGCAAGCGCAGCGGGGTAGGAATAAAGCAATCTGTCTGGAGACTTTTATACGTTAATACCGATTATGTTATAGCGATGTTCGTATTCCGTACCCAATATTTTCCTGTACTTCTACCCGGTATTTAGAACATATAATCTGTGCGGTAGTTTCCAAACTCTGTACCCGGTATTCCGGTACTCTCCCCTGGTAATGATACATAATTTCTAAAATATCTTTAAAATCCTGCTCTACCCGGTATCTCCGGTACTGTACCCTGGTATTAATAATACATATAATTTATTCAATATTCTTTAAATCCCTGCTCTACCCGGTATCTCCGCTATTCCTCAAATCCCGGTGCCTCCGGTACCCCCCGGTAATGACACTTACACACGAGAATGTCATCTATTTATCTAATCAAAGATGGCTGCAGTCTGCGCCAGGGTGATCACCCCCCCAATCCCCCCGTTTTTTAATCTTATTTTTATATCATAATCAAATTCTTTTATCTTATCTTATGCATAATCAAAGTGTTGGACGTACATTCAAATCCCTTTAGAACATCATTTTACGCGCGCGCCCTTTATCACACGAAGCTAGTGTATTAAAAAGTCTACGCTCTTAACAGCTATGTGTTTTCATTTTTAAATCATTAGTTTACGGCTTCTTTGTGTTAGTGATATACCAAGCGCAGCTGTTTATATGACAACCCAAGATATAACATAATTGCTATCAATGATTAACTTGCATTATCAGAAGAGTCACTCCAAATCTTCGATATCAAGGGCCCATTCAAAAGCACTAGAGGTTGCAATTTTCCATTTATGATCATGTACCATAACAGGAAGTAAAAAACTCGGTAAAAAAGAAACTGGTTGTGGGAGCAAAACACCTAACAAGCTTATTTCTAATTCAATCTGTGAGTTACTAAGGTAGATCAGTGTGCCCTGATTTTAATCAAGCAAGGGTTGATTCACGGTATCGATAAGGAATTTGAAGGTAAATTCTACTACTAAGAGAGTTAGGGAAGCCATAAAAAAAGGATTTTTCCGTGCGCAAATTTAGTTTAATCCAGTGCCTTTATGTTGAGCAGTTTAAGTAAAGTTTACACGAGTCAATGTGAAAAATCATTTTCCTACTCTCAGCATATTGTCTTTGTTAGCGATAAAATCGTACATTCGTCAAATACATGAGTAATGCCAATCTCTTAGAAATACGAGAAATAAGTTATTATTATATATTTTATCGTTATCATATCGCTGAGTACAATAAATTGATAAAAATAATCATATAATCATTCATTTCTTAAAGTCTTAATAAGGAGGTATAAGCAATGAATTATGGAAAGAAACGCTACTAAGAGCAAATCTGAACACTTGAATAATCGTATCTCCTTGATCTTAGTCCGTTATCAATCAGAACAGCCCAGACATCTTGAAATAAATGTACATGAAGTAACTCGTGTCTTTTAAATGTTCTTATCCCGATCGATACAAGTGACTGAACTGGGGTGGAATCCAATTATTTTAGAGGCAATTTGTTGGAGCACAAATTGAAATGGAGTGTTCTATTATCCCAGGCGAGTTTTGCGGCTTTAATTTGCTTTCTTTGATTCTTTTACGTCAGTTGAACTTAAAATAGCTCGTGTTTTCATTCTCAAGAATAAATATTCCTATTCGCCCACAGGGTTAATAGCTACGGGTATCTGCTCGCCCTAAAAGTGTGCAAACTAAAGAGTTGAGTGTTTTTCCAATGAAGATTTTCTTTGACACAGTCACCCGAATCGTAACTCTGCATTCAGTAGAGATTTTTCGTCTTAAAAATTCGCGCAAGCGAATACCTCACAAAATACAGTGTTGATTACATACTTTTCTTTTAAAAACTTTAAGTAATTTTCTTTGGTGTTTAGCTGCAAACTATATAAATTTGACTTCTGTAAAGATACTATTGTATATACATATATATTGGCCTAGCATTGGTTTTACTAGTTTATAGCATCCTAGATAATCTTATTATCCCTCACACTAATAACGCGCAGAAGAGCTGTGTAGAGTCCTGTAGAGTTTTCTTTTTCTTTTTTTCCTTCTTTTGACTGAAAGCTTTCTTTGTTTTCGTTGTATGGTGCTTTACTCATGTTACACTCCAAATCACTGAGTTTTTTCTTAGTTCTTAGGGGTACTGAGCTAGTCTGGTGTATCATGTATGAGCCTAGAAAACTGAAACAAGTCTAGCATTTTTTGATTTCTTTTATGGTTTCAACGCTCTGTATATCTTGCTTGTTATAATTTTTTCAAAAGAGTGTGTTTTTTTTTTTGTTTTTTGTTTTGCCTTAGGGCTCAAAGCTATTTGAATCCATCAATTCACTCACTCAAATCAAATTTTGATTTTGTTCGCTCTGTATTAAAATCTTTTCTCGGCATCACATTACGTGTAACTATACCGGTATAGTTTCGACTATTTTAAGAATATCGCACTACTAAACGCGCGCAGACTAACTGGTCGAGTTTAACTAAACGTTAAGATAATTCTCCACAGTTGATTTTTTTTTTTCATTTTAAGACAATCACTCTGCTAGGCCTTAGGGCTTGTAGTTAGGTCCATGCGCGCATCACAGAAAACACACAAGCTAAAACAATTACAGAAAAAAAACAATTATAGACCCACTATATTGCCGTGTGCTCAATTTGTAAACTGGTTTTTGGAAGTCAGGGAAAATTAGAGTAAACAACCAAATAAATTCAACACAAAAATCGCAATCCGCGAAGGAAGTTGAAATCGATTTTGATCT